GGGAAATCGCATCTGCCCATTGTATTTAAAATACGTTAAAATATGTTGCATTTTGTTCCTGTTGCATCTTTTTACTGAGAAACCAGTCCTTAAAAACTCAGTATCTCCGTTTTTCCTGCATTCAAAGAAAGAGGAAGGTTAATGGTTTCGCCGTATGAAAGAGTGAACCAAGGGTAAAACTTTTCATTTCCTCTTCAACTCGACGTAACTGGTAAGCAAATGCTGTGGGATCTCTTCAGAGGCTTACAGGTGCTGTTTTGTTCTGTAAGAAAGTTGAGCTCTTCCAGATCTTTTGCATTTTATATAACCAGTAGTTGGTAACGTAGGTATAGAGCATTACCAGTGTGAAGTGATATATACTTTTTCTGTCATTCCATGTAGCAGGGGTCGTGATGCTCTGCTCGTTGCAGTTGTGCGTTGAAATGGATGGTCACAGAAGTAGCTGCAGTGATGACAGCGGAGGTCCGGGGAGCAGAGGATGATTTACGAGGAAGTCGAGCGAGACTAGGTTCGCCCACCTTGGCGCGGTGGGGAGATGGTGTCAGCTGAGGAGGTGCAGGTACAGAGGTGAAGGTGACCCGCTCCGGTTGTTACTGGCATCAGAAGAGACGGTCGCATCTTGTTTTACACAGGGCTTCTTCACCGTCCCCTGGCTCAGGAAGAAGCGATGTGCTCTGGCCGGGAGTTGCAGCGTTCAACACTCGCAGGCATGAAAATAAATGTACCAAATATCTTACTGCCAAAAACCCCAAAAAGGATCAGTGTACTATGTTCCACATTTCATCTCCAATTACTTTTAGAGTTGGGTAGAGCTGCAAATACATTTTAAACTGGACATGTGAGTTAAATCTTGCTGTTCTTAATAACAGTGGTAAGAAGATGGCTAAATACTATGATGGGAATTTACTCTGTTAGTGGCCATAGTTTTGTGCAGTGCAGTCAATAGTTTCTAAATTCTGTAATACCTCCCAGGTTTGACAAAGGAGGGGAGTAATTTTAGGAATTCTTTGGCTGATCCTGTGCAATCAAGTCAGGTAAACCTGTGTCTTCAGTTAAATTCAATGCTCAGGGAAGAGGACAGGGCCATTGTTTAAATTATTAAATCCTGCTGTGTGTGTGAGGCCACAAAAATGCCTTTTCAAAATGATCCCTTTTATTTCCTCCTGCCTCCTTGTTTCTGCCTGTGAGAATCTGTCTGTTGCACTTTATCCAAACCAGGCTCGAAAGAAACAATAGTTCTATTGAATTGTAACGTAAGCACAAGGAACTCTGAAATTTTTAATCCGATAGCAAAGTGTGCCCTTTCCCTCTATAACACTTTCTGCGCACCCAGTCAAAGCAAGAAGGTTGATTTTGTACACAGGTCTTCTCTAGAGATGTGCAAGAAATGTTGTTCCCAAAGTTTTATTTTAGAATTTTGGACATAATTTGTAATAACTCTTTTCCTGTAGGTTAAAATTTGCCGTGAAATCATTAGAGCACTGCATTATTCATAATCTGATTTTTCTGTACTTTCAAGTTACACCAGGTAATGCACTTTCTTGTCCTTGAACGAGAAATACTGGATTGCTGTAGATTTATCTTTCGTAGTTTCTAATAAGGGATAAATGCCTATAAAAAACAATGCTTAATGAAAGGCAATTTAAAAAAAAAAGTAAATGTTGTACCTAAAAATTCAGGTAGTCTTTAGGTGTGTTCTTTGTAATGTAATTCAGAAACTATTTTAATAATTCCTTTGATTGGGGATGATTGGGGTAGTGAGCAATTTGAAAATTTTGTACAAGATGCAGATAGATATGTAGAACACATCAGGGGTAAGCATGACTTTCTAGTAGCAATGCTTTCGGTTATTTATACTTGCACAAGCTGGCATTTCGTATGTCAAGTACTTGAGTAGGAGTATCTGTGAAAATTTCAGTTATTTTAGGAAATTAAATGGGGCAGATAATATGTATTTAGTTTGTAGTAACATTTAAATGGTTTAATTCTGAAACTTTTGCTCTTCCAAGCTTTGTAGCATGGCTTTGAGCATCAGCAGGCAATCCACGCGCTGTTAAGGGTGTGCTTTTCCCCCCTCCATTTAAAAATTAATTAAAAGTCAGACAAGCAGCATCTCTCTGAAACATCAGGTTTCATGCACTCACTCCAACCTTGACCATGAGTCAGATTAATTCTGTAGTGTGCATAATGGGCAGGAAGCCGGTGGGAGCGGAGGGGGGCTTGCAGGCAGCAGAGTACCCTTCTCTCTGCAAGCTGGATTGAACCCCAGGCTTGTCAATCTTGCTGTTTCTGTGCTGTCGCCCAGTAGCTGAGAAATTCCTGGCCAGAATTTGGGTTCACCTCTCAAGTCCACGTACATGGCCACTGTTTTTTGTTACTGTAAAGTGGTTTTGCTCATCTGAAAGCAACTCAACAACAGACTTGAATTTTTTGAAGGCAATTCTTGTGGTTTTTAAATTGTCATTCCTGTATGTATGGTATATACAGGGGTAACTTACTGATTATTTTCTCATGTGCAGCGTGCCTTTTGTAGAAGTCAAATAGGCTACATTTTTTTTTGTTGCTTCCCTCCCCTAGTTTTTCTTCTGATTTTTGTCAATGTTTGGTATGAAATTTAAAAAAGGTCCAAACAGTCTTGCAGCTTTATCACAAAAAATTTGCCTTCTGTGAGTATTTGGTGACAGTTCCTTGTTTTAAATTGGTGGTGAACTGTTAACGAAGCTGCTTAGGTAAGAACATTGCAGAAATGGTAGCTGCTGACCACTGTCATCAGGCGCTTACAACTTCAGTTCTCTGCGGAATGTTTTTGCTGCGCTGTTTGTGTAAATTGTGAGGAGAGAAGGAATAATAGCTAGGTTGGTCTGACATAAAGACTGTCTTCTACACAAGATAAATATGAACCAGTTAAATGCTTTAATTTTAAACGCATGGTTTAAAAAAAAGAAGCTATACTCTCTCCTGCAAACCTAGAGTTGCTTTATTACTTTCCAACATTTGGTGATTAGAAACTTGGCTGGCTTTTATGGCTGAGGAAAATCAATATAATGAGAAAATACAGTAGAAATTTTAATATACTTTGTCTTTCAAAGGAATTCTGTTTTTCAAATATATCCAACTGAACTCTATGAGTGCATAATTAACGGTTTATGCTACTTTAACATGCTGTGATAAAATACAGAAATTGCTCGTGTTTTCCTACTTTTCTGAGTGAGCTCTATACTTCTGCTGTATCTGAACTACAGACTAGTGCCTTGTCCTGAAATAGTAGTCCAGGGAAGGTGCTGAAAACATTCAGAGGATTCTAGCCTGGTTTTATGAACCTTCCTTATATTATGGGCTTTGATAGGATGGTAAGCTTTTAGAAATAAAAATTATGTCATTCCCTTTCCTCCCACCCTGAATTGCTTTCACATGTTGTGTGTGTGGGTGATGAGTTCTCCAAATATTTTCCACAAGGTCCGAAAAAAAAAAAAAAGTGAAAAATGGAAAAGAAAAATTTCACCGGGTTCTTAAAAAGACCTGTTTGTGAAAAGCTATTTTTGAGTGTCTTAAAAAGACTAGCTTGTGGTTTTATCAATACTGGTTGTATTGATAATAACAAATTGTAAAATAGCGATACCATCTTTCTTAAGAGAAAGTGAAGATCCTTGCTTGCAGTCAGAGTCAAGCCTCTATCTTTGCTTTTAAGAGGAGGTTTTGCACAGCTCTGCGTAGACCTTCCGTCGGGCTGCGTGCCTTGCTCTCTCTTCCTCCTCCTCTCCTGCGCAAAGCAGCAGTCTTATGTGCTCTTCCCTTTCTTGGGCTTCCTCAAATCACTGTGCTCCGCTCTGCCTGGAAGGACACTTCTGTTGTTAAATGTCTTCTTTGAAAGCTCTGCTGAGAAACCCTCTGTAGCCTACTCTCCCAAGGCTCCTTGATATTTTGTTTGCTCCATAGCAAAGGACTCCTGACAGGTCTGTCCTGTTTGATCATAGGAGCCTCACTGAGGAGCTACCGAGGGTGACTTTTATCAATCCTGAACACCTCATGGCTCAAAGAGCAGGCTTTCTTCAAGGTGATAGAATTCTTCCCTAAGTTGCATCCTGTAAATGTTCTGAGCAAGAGGGATGCCACCAGCTGATACTCCTGGGATGGTATCTCCCTGTGCCCTCCAAACCCCGGACACTGGTCTGGTTCTTGAGATATTCTCTCGAAGATATTTTTTTGTCTCTCTTGTTTAATTCTGTCCCACAGCCATTTTCTGCGACTTAATTTCTCCAAACTGTTGGATAATCCTGGTCAGTCGGATGACGCAGAGTATGCCAGCCTTGTCATGAGCTGTCTTGAAGATATTTTCACTAAGTTGTGCAACTGTATTGTTATTGTACCGAAGAAAAGTCTTTGCCATTTGAACACCCGAACTGCTCTTTTGTGCTTAAAAAAATAACAAAAGAAAAAACACCACAGATTCAATAACCACATCAAACTGTCTATAGAATACTTGTATAAACATTTTCTAAAAACTGTGATCATCACTGGAAATAGTAACTTGCAAGATTCAGTATATTGACAATACCTGCAAATTAGGACAACTCCACTCAAAAAGCTAGCAGCTTTCCAAAATGCACCAGGTTGAAGTATACAACCGTGCCATCAGACATGAACTGTGGGTTTTTTCTAAGCACAGTATTACAGTTCTTCTTAATAACGTAAGGAGGACGATTCTAAAAGGTCCTTCTTGCATAGTAATAGGTGCAGTCCAGGTACCATGTATGAATTTACTTTAACACAGAAAGAAAACCACACCAGTCATACCTAACCTAGAACTATACAGGACATCCTTGAGTGCTTACCGTGTACTCTGGAAGAAGAGTCTATCTTAAATATTTGCAGACCTGACTATTCTCAGGGTTGATACCAGTCCTTCAACCTCCCTATATTAATCCAAAACAAATTCTTTGTGGGCAATTCCATTCACCAGACGGAAATGGACTTTACCTAACTAATAAATATAAAATTTATCAGTGCGTCTTTCTCCCATAAAAGAACAACTGAAGAGCCCGATCCCTGTGCATGCACATGATAGAATGCAGTAGCCTTTATTTGTCACTTCAAATGCCCTTGTGGAAATTCAGTGTTAAGCTAAAAAAGTCACTGTGTACTAGAATAAAACTGCACAGATAACTGGTAAAGGATGGACATTGTTGGTGGCTTGTAGAAGGGTACTTCTCACAAATCCAAAGCTTGCTTTCTGTCTGGCTAGCCCTGGTTTTCAAGTGAAACCAGTAAAATACTTCAATGGTTCTGAGAGGTGGCATTCATAACCTTACTGAATAGTAAGAACTAGATAGTATCCTGTGGCTGTGTTACCATGCACTGCTGAACATCATCATTACCTCATTTTTCTGTCCTTCGTCCCTGATTGGCTTGAATGGTCTTAATTCATCTGAGGTCAAATCTTTATGTATTTGTGTTTAAAATAGCCCTTCTCCCAACAGGCTTGCAAGCAATTTTTTGGCTTTGTACACTTCCACATACTGTACTGGGTGAGAAGTATGCTCTGGTAAGAACCAGCAAAACTGGAAACTTTCACTCTCTTGGTGGTGTTCTTGCACGTAGAAAATTGGTTTATGACTCTTTGGAGTCACTTAGTCCATGTTCTGAAGAGAGGTTTCTGATAGTTCTGCCTAGTTATTGCTTGTAAACGTCCTGGTTTATCAGTTGGTGACCACTTTCTTGCCCCCGAATACATCTACTATGAAATGAAGTTGCGGATCTGCTGTCGAGAAGCAAGCTCATATTAGCCTTAACAGGGAAGACGTTGATCTTCGTACCGATAAAGGCATTGCTTTGTCTGTGCAGTGATCTGGATTTCCGTGCACGTAGACGAGCAAAATGTTTGCCTAACGTTTCCAAGAGGACTACTTAGCTGCTGCTGGAACCAGCTTGCCTTGTCCTTACTTCTTTTGCCATGTTGGCGTAGGCCTGCCTGGTTTTATAAGTTCCACTGATCTGCCTCACATTTTCCTTATTTTCATCTCATAGCCTGCAAAAGAGATTTACTCTAAAAAATAAAGCTTCCAAAATACACTTGTTTGACATAATTTTCTAGGTAACAGAGTAAGCTATGTGAAACTAATACTATAAAGTTTACTCTGACCTTTTTTTCTGTCAGTAACAACCTTCAGCGTCCCTGAAGTGTCTTCGTATCTGGTTGCTGAACGCCTCGTACTCCTCCCTTTAGCCAGTTATCACGACGACAACTCTTCGCTGAATGAGGAGATAGAATGAGTGTTCGCCGATTCCTGTTTCTTCAATTAGTCAACAGTTTAAAACAACAAAAAGAAGAGCAACAGCTTGGCATCTGTGCTGTTTTCGAGTTGTTCTGCTGGTATAATCAAAGTGAGAGTTTCCATTAGGGAACCTTATTTTGCATGTGATTTGTGATTAAATTAATAAAGACAGGTATATTGCTTAAGGGGAAGGTTAAAAGTGATGTGGATTATGTAAGCTTTCATCTTCAGGACTGCGTTGTTCCGATATATTATTGACACTTTATCTTATGTTTAAGTAGTTTAGTAGTCTGCGGTTTGTTTTATGTACTAGTATTTGCTTTTAGTTCAGTTAAGGCTGTTGGAAGGAATTACGATGCAACCCGTGCTAGTTTGAATGAAGAAGAGCTGAAGGTAAATCCAAGCCGGGAAGGCTGTACCACTAGACAGAGACATACGGGATTTTTAGCCATACCGTCCTCTTCCTTCAGTGAATATGTATATATGCATATGTCCAGTTCCATCCATAACTGAGAAATTGTCTGGACTAGTGGAGACTGAGCTGCCATGCAGCACTGTGCTTATAAACAATGCCTTTGACCATCTCTGGATGCCTTATAGACCAGCTTTTCCTGACAGGAGATGGCCTGGCTTTTCCTGGATTTTCCCCTGCTGCTTCACAGCTTGAATACATCAGTGCAGCCAGTCTGTTAATAAGGTCACTCATTCTGATGGTTTTAGCGAGTAAATAATAGGCTTGTGAGATGTGTCTATGGCATGGATCACATAAGTTTGCAGCAAGAAGTCTTTACCTGTCTACTCTGGCTTCGTTATAGTTTCTGTAGCTTCAAGGTAAAGATCCGCATCCTTCATCTTTCACATGCTGGCCTGAGTGTAACACAACGGAAGGTTTGTGAACAAATCTTAGAACCGCAGGCTGCAGGTTGGACGCAAGGGCAAGGATAAAGCTTGTTGGGGCAGAGTGTGGAGCTCTCCCAGGGCATCTCTGGGGCACCGCAATGAAGGTGCGGAGCAGTGTTTGCTTCAGGTGATGGCACGTATGTATTTTTTTGTACCCTGAATTCTTCATCATAAATATAGAGCTGTATTTACACTTCAAGTAAAAACTGAAACCAAGCTTTCCGTGTGTGTGTGTGGAGGGGTAAGAGGCATGAAAGCATCTGTGACAGATGTGAGAAGTATTGCTTACGGCAGTGTGCTGCTGGGAGGCTCTGCTGTCTCCATCGTAGAAGTGGTACAAGAAGCTCAGTAGAATGGAACTAAAACTCGGGCAACTTGAGGATTTTCAGTACAGTGTCTTTTTGCCTTTAAAGGCATTACCTGCTAGTAGTTTTGTAGCAATCCTATGAATGGTTGATTGAAGTGTGGGGCTGGCCGTTGGAAAATTACGCTGTATAAATGGCATTGTTTGTTGTGGTTCAGTGGGTTTCACATCAGGTTTGTTCAGTTTTCAATTCAAGTGCGTTTTTTTTCTAGCTCGCAGCGTTCCAAGTTTGGCTTGCCTTTTCAGAATCAAGCTGTGTTCTTGGCTCATGAAATTTCTTTGCAGATTAAAGTTCAAAAGGCTAAGTCTTGGTCCAGCACGATTTTCATACTCTCTGTGATACAGCATCAAACCGAGTTACACAGGTTGTTCCATGGGCGATCTTGCAACTGGAACTCAAGAGCTCTGCTCATCAGCAAAAGTACTTTTAATTCAAACTTAGGCTTTTTTTTCTTTTAGACCAACAATAGTAAAGAGTAAAACAAAACAAATGCATATAAATGTTGCCAGTCAAGAGTAAATCAAATGATTTTTTATTGTTTTTTTTTCACCCAATAAAATTGCATGTTTTAGATGGTTCTCAGATCAGATCTTTACTTCAATCTATTGCTATCTCAGAATTAGACAATTTGAAGCTTTAATACTGTAAGAAGCATGAATAATAAAACTCAAACCAAACAGGAGTTGAAGGATTGTGTGTGAGATATGGAAAATTTGGTAACTGTTAGTGCTGTCTATGGATGACATCTGTGGAAAGTTAGCCTTGATGAATGTTGGTCTGGAAAGTCAGACAAGAGAAGCAATTCTAGGACTGTGATTGTACATAAAGGCTTTCAGGATCTTAAAATGTGTCTTGCCTAAGTTAATTTATACAGCGACTTAAGTATCCCGCATTCAGAACTGGGCCTAAAAGAATGCTGATTATTCAATACTGGCACTCCCAAGCTTAATAGACATTTCAAGTGAAAAATTATTTCATATGTACTATTAATGATCTTGCAAATTCAGACTCATTTTCCTTGCATTTTCCTTGTTGATCTGCAGCTGCTGTTGGCTTTCTGGCAGTTTCCAGTGTCATTACCATGTCAGCCCCTTTCTTTCTGGGGAAAGTTATTGATGTTATTTATACAAATCCCAGCGAAGACTTCACCGACAGCCTGACCAGCCTGTGTGCCTTGCTGAGCGGAGTCTTTCTATGTGGTGCTGCTGCTAATGCTACTCGTGTCTACCTCATGCAGACTGCAGGTAAAAACAGAAGCAAAAAGTGGTACTGAGAGTCATCTTTTTTTCACAGAGTCAGGTTATCTAATGATCTGAAATAAATTCTTGGCACCGGCTGAGAGATCCTTGTGGAATCAGTAGCTTTTTTTACCAGATCAAAGGTAAACTAATAGTGCAAAGAGAAGTATTCTGGAATAATTGTTCGTTTTTATGGACTGTTACGTGACATCTTAAAGCTTACTCTCTTCTGGTATATTGAGACTCTGTAATGTGACTCGTTCAGTGCTGCATGATCCTGTGATTTTTATATTGTCTGTGCCTGTGTAAAGTCTTGTGTGCCATGCTTGACCAACTTCTGTTTCCGACAGGACAAAGAATTGTGAAACGTTTGAGAACAACCATGTTCTCCTCTATTCTGAAGCAAGAAACCGCTTTCTTTGACAAGACCAGAACAGGAGAGCTGATAAACCGCTTATCTTCAGATACAGCCCTCTTGGGCCGTTCAGTGACTGAAAACCTTTCAGATGGGCTCAGGGCAGGAGCGCAAGCATCTGTTGGGGTTGGAATGATGGTACGGTGGTCTCTTCCCTTCTTGTCACTTCTTGTAGTTTCAAGTTTGTTTCGTAATGTGTGATGTGATTCAGTCCAGAAACTGTTGTGTGTTCTTGGATAGAAGTGTATTTCGCTGGTTATCTACAATAAATTTTATGTAGCGCATTGCGATAGATGATGTGCCTGTAGGCACTTGATGTTCACTCACAAGCCAAAATACGGAGAATGAAGGTTTGAAATGAACTACTGTTGCTGCCCAGATTTATCAAGAAAGTATAGTAGGCAAATAGCTTAACTCTGTTCTTAATGAAGATATTAAAATCAGTAATAATGTTCCCATGGTTGTAGGTAAAATAGGGTGTAAAGGGCTTGATGTCAAAGTCATTGAAGTTGGTTGATTTTGGTTAAGGTTGAGCTGAGGAAAGGCAGCACTGAATATCAAATTACTGCTGAGGATTCTTTACAACAAATGTTAGTTTTTCTGCTTTAGTCTGTCGGTAGAGAATATATTTAGGTGGGAGGTGTGTTAATGAAGGCTTCAGTGCAGTGCATCAGTTAATATTGCTTGGTGGTCGGTTGGTTTACATAAATATCTGAGTTCCCTTGTTGCTTTTTGTGGCATTAATTTTGTTACGCTTATCTGGTGGCAATTATCTTAAAGATGTGGTAAATTCTGCTGTCTACCTGGAGTTAAAAACAGACAGAAAATTCTCCTCAGAAAAATAAGCTTCCAATATTGATGTTTTTAGAAACTGTTAAGAGTTTCCACTAGCTTTAAAGCTTTACTACTTTGTCACTCACAAGAGTTATGGCTTTGTGTATTTATCTAAGCAAATAGAGTCTAAGGTTTTATCTTGCCATAGATTAAATGGAATAACTTTATATAAGGCATTCTGCTCAAAAATGCTTCCATGATACAGTGTTAAAAGATGGACTATAAAAGCTTGCCCAGAAAGAAGAGATTATTATGAAGTAATTATAAAGCCTGTCAGTTAAATAAATTTTCAAATTTTCTGGAGATTTTTGTTTTGAATACAGAAAGCAAGATGAAGTGAAAACAGATTAGATCTAATTTCAGTAAATCTTATGAAAATAACCTATTTAGGACCTTTGATGATGATTGTTACAAGCGATAAGGTTTTGCAGCAGTAAATTAAATCCATTATTCCAGGTTATGAGCGTTCGTGGGTGCTAGGGAGCACTGACGACTCCCATCTGTTCCTCGGTTACCGAGAAGTAGCGTACGATACTTCTCTACTCAGGTAGGCCTGTTTACTGGCAGGTTAAGATACTTGGCTAAGACCACACAGCAAACCAGTGAGAAAGCTAGAAATGAAATCCAGACCACTGTGCTATAAACCTTTGTTCTAACCATGGGATACATCCCAAACGATGTAGAAGAATAGATGCTTTGCCTGGAAGAAATAAAACATGATAAATGAAAGCATGGCAGCACTAAATTAAAATCCTACTAGTTTTAGAAAACTCTAGCAAGGGAAGTTGCACTTCAGTGCTCCAGTGGTTATTTTTAGTCTGAACGCTAACCCCTGATGCATACCTTTTTCTTCTAGTTTTTTGTGTCTCCTAGCCTTGCTACATTTGTTCTGAGCGTTGTGCCACCCTTGGCTGTCCTGGCTGTGATTTATGGAAGATACTTGCGAAAACTTACTAAAGTGACCCAAGATTCTCTTGCGGAAGCAACACAGGTAATCTTTTAACAGATGCTTTCTAGTTCACTTCAAAGTTGCTCTAGTGTATTGAGGTTAATATCTCTGAAGTTACAGATCTTCTGAAGATAATTGTACTGTTCATTGCCCTAAGCCATGCTGAGCCTGTAGTTTTGCACCTGAATGGCATGAAAGGTAAATATCAGTAACACTTACTCATAGGTCCCAAAACCAACTATGCTTTGGTGGTCCATAACAATATAATGTGGAGGTACCAGGCCTTGAGAATTTGGACGTGCAGGAAAGGATAAGGAGGTTAGGCTTTAGCTGTGTGAAAGCGTAAAATATCAGCCTATGAAGTCCTGTGTAATTTGGTACCTGGGTTTGAAAAACACTTTTCTTGGACTATGGTTATGAGTGTGAAGCCATCAGAAGCATCCTAGATGGATCTGTCTTTTAAGAAAACTTTGCTAACAAGTCCTTCTCTGGAATGCATCCTTGATGTTTGACCTTATTGTCAGCTCTTTAATATTGATGAAGCTTGACGCTTCTTAAACTTTTCTGGGCATCTCAGCACGTACCCAGATATTTGGGAGGAAAGTAGAGGAAGCTGTTGTTTCTAGAGCTGTTCTAGAGGGGCCTTCATTGTGTTTCCTGACTGCACTGAAATATTGCAAAGTGCTACCAGAGAATAGTAGTGATAGTGACCTTTTCCTCGCAGGCTGAGGGTGGGAAAACATCATTAAAAAGCACAGAAATATAATTAGAAAAGATCTAGTTAAAATAGCCACAGTTGTCAGCTGTTTCAAACTTGGGATGTCCTTTGCAGGACTTCTGCCAATTGAGTGTGCAGAAGAAAGATTAGCCCTCTTCTGTTTATCTTCTTCATCCTGTGTAAACCAGGTCTAGCACTTCACATGAACAAGCAATTTTAGTGTTCCATGGAAATTTGCAGGTTGAATGGGGGATGGAAGAAGGAAAATTATATTTTTATATCATATTTTTACTCACAAAAGGAGGCCTTATTTTTTGTAAGACCATCACAGTGTCTGTTAACAACTTAGTCCAATTGCTTACAATTGAGGTAATTTTAGAGTTAATACTTTGCTGTTTGGAAGTTAAAATACTGAGTTGAAACGAGACATTAACGGTTGAGCTAAATTAATTCCCAATGTTGCTTTGATCAAATGAGTGGAATTGTTTCGGGAAATAACTGCAGGCTTTCTTGCATGATTTAGTGTAAAATAAAATATTCTTTATTCTTCCCCTCTCCACGTTGTTATTGCAAGTTATTGTGAATAGTAATTTTCTTATGTGTGTTGTTCACATCAAATTAAGTTGGGGGGCTTAAAAAAGGGGTAAAAAGGGCTAAAGAGCTAAAAAAAAGCCCTACTTTTGTATTTTTCTATCTCTGCTAGCAGTTAAGGCAATCTTGAAGTTCTTTTTAAGCTGCCTGGGCATGCAGTTTACTTTTAACTTAATAGAATTTAAAAAAAAAAAAAAGGAGGTGAGGTGGGGAGAGGAGGGCATGAGAAATTTTCCAGTGGTATCCAAAGGAATGCATTTGGAGATTAGTGTAGAGATAGTGGTTTAACTTTCAAATGTTCTGGAATATGAACATTCCAAATTGTGTGTCTGTGTGTATTTGTTTTCTTCTTTGCTTCAATGTAGTTAGCTGAAGAGCGTATTGGAAACATAAGAACAGTTCGAGCTTTTGGGCAAGAAATGGCTGAAGTGGAGAAGTATACAAATAAAGTTGATTATGTGCTACAACTGGCTAAAAAAGAGGCACTAGCTCGGGCAGGCTTCTTTGGAGCAGTAAGTATATTTTGATGAAAGTAAACCAACCATGTTATGCCAAGTGTCAATTATTCTAAAATTCATGAGGATACTTACAAATCTGCAAATAAATGAATTGAGTGTAAATTGAACCTACAGAAAACTGTGGGAAGACTGGACTTAAATCAGTCTAAATTGCTGTGAAACTGCACCTCAAGATACAGTGGTATGATAAAGCCAATTTAAGCCTCCATTTCTGCCCCACACCCCGTGCTTGGTACTATTTATCTAAGCCCATACCTTCTATTCAGGGAACTAACTCAGTGGAAACCTTCCCCCACCCTTAGCATTTTACAGGTTTGGCTTCCTGATGAGATGAGCATCAATGCAAAGGAAGCTGGGGAGTGCGCAGGTTGGAGAGGCAGGGTGGGATTGCATTCTTCCATAACAGCTTGCAGTGAGTTTGCTTAATAGTACTCTAAAACTGCAACATAACTGCAGACTATTAACTCGTCTCCTTTAATGATGGTAGAGAATAATGTTTGGTGTTCCTTTTCATCTTGGGGGAAAAAAAAACAAAAGAGAGTTGCTTGCTTTTTGAACGCTTGTTGGATAGCGCAGTGCAGTGCCGCTGGATGTCTGGCTGTTGGCTTGGTTTGCTTTCGAATTGATTTTGTTCAAATTTAACTCGGTCCTCTAAAAATCTAGATACCCAAAGTATGGAAATTCTTTATTAGAAGGAAGTTTCTGAAACAGCATTTTAGAGGATGAAATTTAAGACGTATGTGACAAAGTCTGCCTTTTCCTCTTTTTCCATAGACTGGCCTTTCTGGAAACTTAATTGTCCTCTCAGTCTTATACAAAGGAGGATTACTAATGGGCAGTGCCTACATGACAGTTGGTGAACTCTCATCTTTCCTAATGTATGCTTTCTGGGTTGGAATAAGCATTGGAGGTATGGAATGAGAAATTAGATTTTCTTCACTTCAAAGCATTACAGTCAGTATGGGGGCGGAAGGGAAGAAGCTCTTAAAAGATCTGGCTTTCTTAAAAGGTCTCTTCTAAATGATCTTCCCAGGAAATCATACATAATTTTTTTTTTTCTGAAGAGTTAATGAAAATCATAATTCATAACTTAATATAAGCCTTCCACTTTCCCAAAGGAATACAGAGGTTATTTTTTTTCCATGTGTGTATGTGACAGATACATATCACTAATTTTCTTTGGGTCTAAATTAAGATACTTTGGTATATTGTGTAAAGAAATAATCTAGTATTACATTTTTTACAAAAATATGTAGGTGTATGTTGAACATACTCTATTTAGAAAGGCTTGTAGAATTTAGCTGTAATTCAGTATAGAGTGTCTTGAGCTGGAAGAGTAAACAAAGTGCCAGGACAACACTACACCCTGGTGCTAACCTTTTGTTTTTCCTTACTGACTGACTCCTCCTTGAAGCTCAGACTCTGTAATCTACTGGCCCAGAAACAAACTGTTCATCTTTTTGACAGAGCAGTCTTCACTGTTGCGTACAGGCAAAAATGAAGATAAGATACTTTGAAGTTTGACAACTTATTGGAAGGGTTCCTCTTTAAAATGAGTCTGTTACTTCTGATGGACCAGCAGGGCAATGCAGCTCATCCATACTCTTCTTTTCTAAGGCTAAGCCTGATATCATGGGAAGCATAAAGATGCGCCTGAGGGCAAAATTCACAAAACCTGCTTCCTTGAATATCAAAATTCCAGTGGCACCTATTCCAACTACCAAAACCCTTTCTTCTCTGCTGAAATCATCCAAGTTTGGTCAACAGACAGATAGCTGGTACTTTGAAAACATGGGACAAATTAATGTTAAATAAAGGAAAAATAAGGTTAGAAGCAGTGATAAAATGTCATTGAATTAACTTTTATTTGCTATAAAAACATCTTTTTAAATTCCAGTTAAGATTATTGAAGAATATAGTTCTGCACAGAGCTCATTGTCGTGGGGACTCTGAAGTAAAGGTGTCTTGCCGCAAGAGGCCTGCCTTCCTTGGTGCCTACAAGGCACATAAATCTTTGAAGTGCTAAGTCTGCTCGGTAAATGTCAGCATCAGTACATACAGCAGTTCATGCAATGAACTGTGAAGTTCACTGCATAATTTGGCACTTTGCCCCTTTTTGTTTTAACAGTTTGCTGTGTTTTCTACCAAACACTGAACACAGGTTATGAAAATTAAAAACATTTTTCTACTTAATGTTTGCTGTCCGTATCGAATAATGCTTTTTTT